GCACTGTGGACTGCGGATTGCTGACTGCGGACTGCGGACTGCAGACTACGGACTGCAGAGTACGGACTGGGTATAAGACACAGATTCATGTATAATATTACACAATACATGTATAAACGAAAACAAACCCTCTCGTACGCACGTTCTTTGCGATCAATTCATTTGTTTTTGCCCCTACCGAAGCGAGACCAATTTCACGCCTACCTAACAGCTCAGGCACAAAATGCTTTCTATAGAATTTTTGTGATTTTTTTAACATACCAAGTCTACCTAACAGCTCAGAAAACACAGATTTATGTATAATATTACACAATACATTTATAAACGAGAACAAACCCTCTCGTATGCACGTGCTTTGCGATCAATTCATTTGTTTTCGCCCGTACTGAAGAGAGACCAATTTCACGCCTACCTAACAGCTCAGCCCACAAAATGCTTTCCCTAGAATTTTTGATTTTTTTAACATGCCAAGCCTACCAAAACTCGAACGCACTCTTTAATATGCGATTACTACTAGTCTTATTTACTTACATTGAATTCAGGACAGTAGAGTTTTTCCCGCCCACTAAATCCTGATTGGTCAATTTAAATTTCAGGCGCGTCAGCCATGTGCAAGGTAAGACCTGTAATAACAACTATCGATATAAGTAGTTGTCCGAAAATTGTCACCGGTCACTTTTAAAAATGTATGTTTCCCTGAGCATAGAAAACGTCAAGTTTATTATAAAAATGCGTCGGTGTACAATGTTTATCACCGCTGTTTGTGTTATATTTTTACTCTAACCTGGCTTCATTTCAAAATAATTGTCTCGTCGTAACAAGAAAAACAAATTCGCCAGTGTTGACTGTTTTTAGCACAAGCTTTTTCGCAGTCCCCTCCCTCGCCTTCTCCTCCTGTTTGTTTTTGTTATTGTTTTTGCTCTCGTCCCAATTTTCGCTAGGTTAGATAGTGGGAAACTCTTTGCTTGCAAGGGAAGACTTGCTACCCAGGCTACAAGCCACCAGTTTCAGACGATTGCAAGTACAGACCGCGTTTTCCCCTCAGGAAAAGCCCTTTCTTTAGTCTTAGGGAAAGCTTTCCTAGCTACCTTGAACGCTAGCTTGAATTACATCATAGGATCACCCGAGCTTTGTACACTGAACAGACGGATTTTTTCCCCGGCAGCTGAGAGGCTGTTCTCACAGGTTTATCATATGGTTTAGGTATATCTAATTTTAATACACTAAAGGAAACAGCTGTGAGAAAAGGCTGTTGGCTTTTTTCTGCACTGCAGTACATCTGTTAATTGTACATATCCTGTGTTCGTAAATAGGAAAGACACATTCACTCCGCATGATGTTGGCAGAGCTTTGCAACCAAGGGCAAGTAGTAAATATATTTGTGATATGTAAAGTTTTCTTTTGCTAATCATAGAACAAAATCTGGGACTTAGTTGAAGCATGAAGTTTTTACTATTTTATAAAAAGATCACGCGCTATGTAACATATAAACCCATCCCATTTCGACTCGCTCATAATCACACTTCAGTAAGCTAGTTCAAAACCTGCTGAACTGGTCTTCTAGAGTACAGTTGTCTGTACTCTTTTTGTTGGTTGAGGACTTCAGTTTCGCTAGGCCAACTTCTTTATCGGTCACTAACAGATGGATATTGTTTGTAACCCTATCGTTACCATGGCAACTGAGTTCATATACCGTACTGCTTCACAGTCAGTTTCATAATAAGGGACTGTTCAAAAATAAAACTGCCGAGGCGTCGGGTTTATTTTTGTCCATTATGACCTCATGGATCCAACATGCATTGATTTAAAACAGACATATATTTCGCTTTAAGACGATAAAAGTATTCAGTGAACTTCAGTTGGCGAGAAACCCAGACGACTTCACTTATTAACAGACAAAGTCCTCGCAGAAGGTAACTGTAAAACTTCTATTTCCCACTATTTTTGACCATCTTTTTAACTACCGTTACATGTACGCTTTTAAGAAATGTGTGCGAGAAAAGTGAATTTTTATTAGCTGTAAATTACTCTTATAATGAGCTAAACCAAACTGGTGCTGACCTCAAAAGTTGCATGGGTGGCGAAATTTTTGCGCAGACTTAGTAAAACCCCTTTCCAATCTCTTCTCATCTTTTGTCATATGCTGGCTTGGTTGAGGTCTTCTCGTGTCAGTTCTAAGTGACTTGTCTTATTATGTTGGGGCCGAACTTGTCAGTTAAGGTTGGCAAACTTGATACCGTTCAAACTGGAAACCTTTCAGGTGACAATGCCTTTTTTGGTAACACACGCTGAAAGTGCTGTCCGCTCGGATGGAGTGAGGATTTTATCTTGTAAAACAGTAGTGACGCTTGCAGCGCAAGGGGCGCATCTGCTTTGCGTTTTTCATGTTTTTCTTCGTCATTACCCGAAAAAAGGAAAATTCAATTGTTTTGCCAAACGTGCTTCGGGTGCAATTCGAAGGTGATGTAAGCAAAATTCGCCCTCACTTTGAAACTCACTGACGCAAAATCATAGTTCTTGACTGAACTGTATCCCTTGCAAAAATTGCGATATTCCTCGAATTTGTATAAAAGGCGTTTTTCTCAGGCTACTGACGGCCTAGCTCTCTGGTGGAGCTGGTTAATCTCACTTCCAGCGTTAAGGTTGTTAGTTCCGGATATCTCGGGGGAAAATTTCACTATATTAATTTAAAACTGGCATTCGTCGAAGAAAACTTCATCGTCAATCGTTAAAAACCGGTTCTACATCCGGTAAGGATAGTTGAGTTCAACTAGGAAATCGTTGTAGTTTGAACTGGAAATTGCCCACATAGGAATTTGTTTTGCGCCGGTGCAGTCGAGCCTGAGCTGACTGAATAAGAAGGTTGACATTAATTTCCGAAAAATCAGCAATAGTTTCAGAAATTGAGTTTATAAAATTCATTCCTAAGGCAGTTGACTTATCTATCGTAAGTTCTAGAAGGTTGTATCGACTTTCCTGGGTCGTCATTCTCAGACTTCTCAGGGGCTCATCTGCTGAAAACAAATTTAGCTCCTGTCAAACTCTTACGTAATGTGTTCTCTTGTATGAAACCGTCTACACTACATTGTTGTTTGAGCGTTTCTGTTTTTTTTTTTTATTATTTTTATTATTTTTTTATTTTTATAAAAAGCAAATTGACGCTAGTTCTTTTGTGTACGTCCTCTTACCTCTTACTGACAATGAATTTCGTTAAAGCAATGTAAGTGTACATTTTTTTTTGCTTCTCTTTGTAATAATATATGTCTTGCGAGTTGTCTATGGGTGTCAGTGTCCAGCTCGAAAGCTGAAGCTACTTTGGTCACTGAGCACATCTCAATTTGCTTTTAGTGAGTTGAACGCTTTTTCCATTTCTAGATTCTTCCTGTTAATGGTGTAATATAATCATCGTAAGATTTGTAAACAGTGCCAATGGAAAAAAAAAAAAAAATAGAAAACCTGAGATCCGCGTCCACGTTACACCTGAGAAATTTAAAAAAGACGTTTCCAGAGAAAGATCGACGTTTTCACTCTGAATAGGCATCATATGTTTTCCGTCTACGCTACGCCAGAAAAATAACAGTTATCTGTACTCTTTTCGCTGGTTCCAGTTGAAAAAGAAAACATCACCGGTCATTCTGGATTTGTGTTTGAGGAGAGCTTGGAAAGAGAACTCACATGATTATTGTGAAGTCACTAAGCCAGTTACTACAAATGTAACTCACTGGCCAGAAGTCTTTCAGTCACTGCTGACCGACAACACGCTGGTTTCATAGGCCCACTGTAATTACCTTTGTCGCGTCTCCAACATGAAGTAATTTTATCAGATCATTAGGAATTGTTTAGAAAGACCACGGAAGACAGGAAGAAACCTTTGTTCGCGAAAACATAATAAGCGTATTTACTTGAGCCGACGGACTAGACTACGCACGTCTAGGTATAAAAACGGAATATAAGACACATTAAATATCAGTCGAGTTTTACAATTTTATACGCCAGGAAGACGCAAAAAAACACAGATGCACTATACGTCTCAGACAGATTTTTCGTAAGTAAATTCGAGATGCATAAAACTGGACGAACTTACCTGACCCGGGACTGGGGTTTGAGCAAAATCTGGGCTGTGAAATGAGATTTATACCCCCACCCACCCTCTTCCCCCCACTTCAGGAACTTTGAAATAGCCCCATGTTTCGGAAAAGACAAGCCAGTTTAGTGAAAGTGATCGTCTTGGTATATATGGAACATGTTTCATTTAAGTTTAGACTTGTTTTCGTTATCTTGACTGTTTTCTTGAAGGTTATCGTGAAGCTTTCATTATGTTTCATGGCAATGTAAGAACTTATCATAGTCATTCAGGACCATTTTGGCAAGAGTGCCACTTATCCTGTTTAAATATTGAATTATTTATTATTTTTCATTAACCGCGGAGAGACTCGTTGTGAGCAAAGACGCGTCATATGTGTCACGCGTTCTGCATACTATCAGCACAGTTAGGATCAGCAAAGTTTGATAGCGTCCTGTGTGGAGATAAATAATGAAAAAAAAAAGAAAAAGAAAAGAGAAATGGAGAAGAAAATGTGGCTTAATGTGGTCGGTGGGTAGAATAGACAGAGGCACTCCGGCCTGGACTCAGACTCACGCGCTAACTCGCCATCAGGCACCGTGCCTCCACAGGCAGGTTGTTCGATTTTAGTGCCAGCCATACAAACGACTGCCAGTAAATGCTTTTCAACTGGAAATATCTCTTTCAGTCTATTCAACGAGCTCCTCTATTCGTGTTTATTGATTTATCGCAGCTGCAAGTTTGCCAGACTTTATTTATTTTTGACAAGTCGATGCTAATATTAATTATATGAGAAAATCAAGCAACACCGATGTAAACAAAGTTCACTCAGAACGCATAATTTTTGATAATCATCACACAAATACAGCCGCCTCTGGTCGCTCTCGGCCAATTTGGTGTTTCACGCAAACTTCGGCTCGGCTAGTCATATTAGCAAGTGGCCTACCATGTCAGACGGGGAAGAGCAAGTAGTTTTGAAGGGGGTGGGGGTAGTGTTTATGTTGAAACATTTGCGCATGCACGTTGCAGTCTTGTCGTTTTGTCGTGACATCGTGCGGGCTCTGTTGAACGTTTATATGCATGTGATTTGAAACTCTTTCCTGGTGGCAACATTCATGTGCGACTTGTCGTTATTGTCTGAAATCCATAACAGGATAGACTCACCGAGCACCGGCTACGAACAGATAGACACGTCCCTGTTTGCTACGCCGAGCTCCGTCGCGGAGAGGCTGTCGAAGATGGCCGTGGCGCCGAACAGCTCTGATGCTTGCTTGAGTATCGTTCACAGTCTGATGTGCCACAGACAAGGCGGTGAATCAGAGTCGTTCGCGAAGAGGGCTATAGAATCGCTCGTGAAGAAACTCAAAGAGAAAAGGGACGAACTGGACTCGCTGATCACCGCTATAACATCTGGCGGAACGCATCCGTCGAAATGCGTTACCATTCAACGGACATTAGACGGAAGGTTGCAAGTCGCTGGACGGAAAGGTTTCCCCCATGTTATTTACGCGCGAATATGGAGATGGCCTGATTTGCACAAGAACGAGCTAAAGCACGTCAAGTACTGCCAGTTTGCTTTTGATTTAAAGTGTGACAGCGTTTGCGTGAATCCTTATCATTACGAACGAGTCGTCTCGCCGGGTGAGTACACAAAACTATCGAGCTGCAATATTATAAATTCGACTGACTGGTAGTGTATATTATGGCCCATGGCCACTGCTGCTGGCAAATTCGCTGATAGTTTAGTCTACACGCACTGTTCTTTCTCTCATTTTACTGATCAGTTTACAGACTGTTTGTTGAGATTGTGTGTTGCTTGTGTGTTTTAACGGAAAATAAGACTTAAACTTGCGTCTCATTATTCACAGACATCACTGGATTGGCTTTGTCGAGGAATCCAGGTAGGTTTGACAATGTAGCGTTCGCTTGATGTCAGTGTTTATATGCTGTTTGTAGTTAGCGGCCCCGAGCAAAGGCGCCGTGTTTTGATGGCGTCTTTTCCCCCTGTTTATTCTGTAATGCTCAGCGCTTGTATGCCCAATTCATTTCCAATTTTTGATGGCAAGTATTTGTTTAAGGTATTGTCAATGATGTCTCCAGCGAGCCTTTGAAACAGACAAAAGCTACTATGGGTTTCGATTTGCAATTATATTCATGGCGATAGCTTTGTTCAATTCCAGACTCTCTGTCTGCTCTGAAACACGTGGTCTGTCCATCTTTTTGTTTTCATTTGCGGAGTAAATGCCTGAGTGGAAGCAGACAATAGCCTCAATCGTTCCCCTTCCTTTGTTGAATATTTGCATCATTTGTTCGAGAACGCTTCGAGTTCGGTTCTGAAATATTCCACCGAGAACTTGTTGGAACGTAAATCATTAAAAGACAAAAGAGAGCCTAATAACGAAGGTGCTAAGAGTTGCTAAACAAGGAAATTAAATGTACACGGTGTTGTCACGACATACTAGGGGATCCATTCACGTTTATTGTTCCCACGATGATTCCACAAGTACATCTTTTCAAATTACAAAAGCGTGTATTACTTTATTGCTTTTACACTTATTTTAGCAATCAGAATTCTTAACAAAAAGGGAAAGATTTTTTTCTACCTGTGGGAAAGGTAAAATTATCTATTGGAAAGCTAAGATAACCTACTGTGTAATTCAAACGTTAACGGCGCTGATTATGTTTTAAATACTTTTTTCGAATTAAACGATCGAGCGTCTTTATTATTTTTCTGTCTTTTAATTTATTTACTCTTGACATATCTATTATTATTGTTTTTGTGAGGGTTTCAGATTCTCTTGAATGATTCATAGCTTAAGCGAAGAATAGAATAAAGAATAGAAAACCTGATCTTAAAAAAATATATTTGTAGTTCCTTTCAGGGGGTGTTGTTTGTTCTGGGTATCAATTATCACATAGCCCATTTGTTTTCAAGACTTTAACTGATATAACCAAATAATATTTCCAACACTATTCAAACAGTTGTCAAGGTCAAAAAAATATTGGAAAAAGTTCAAGTTTGTAAATAAATAATAATTATTTATTGGCATGACCTTTTTAATAGATACAACTGGTGGCAATTTAGTTTGGCAATTCAATTTAATTCCATGTAGGGTGGAAAGTAGTTGTAAATTAAACAGCCTTGGACTTTGGGTTATAATACATGTAGTTGATCCACTGATGTCGTGCTAAGTGAAACAATTTTTAACAACAGGTAAAATTGTATGTACCTGGCTGAAAAAATGAAATGCAATTGTTGTTTCATCAAGATTAGAGAGCATGTGCAGTTTATAGATACCAAATAAGAGGAAATATTCATTTATGATATATGTTTCAATCCTGCTCCTACTGATCACCAATTAAGCTCTGATCTCAGGTTCTTTGCCTGGCTGCCCAGCTTATAGAAAGGCACCTGTTGTTGCTAGTAAAATTCTTATTGTTTATAGATCTTCAGCTGATTGGCTTTGTTTTTGGCTCAGAGCTTGTTCTCAAAAAGGTGAACTTGAACTTGAATTTACAGCCTGGCTGATGAAAAAGTGATTCAGTGGTGGAAATTCTAAATGAAACTGCTTTACAAGCTAAATGAGAGTGTTTCTTTAGGTAAAACCAGTAAAAGCTGGTTTGTTTGGCTTAGACATTATAATATTATTATTTAGCATATCGTATTGGATATTGGCTTGTGAGCTTAGGCCAAGGTCAACGTGCTCTGGGCTTGGGCAGTTAGGCACTTTTGATATCTTTTATAGCCTGATATAGTACCTCTTTTCACAGGAAGAAATCCTCTGATAGACATCCTTCTTGTAACAGATGCATTATAAATGAAACTAATCAGCAATGCGAACCATCAGGCTTTTGTTCATAAAGATCTCTTGTTATTACAAAAATGACATTCAGGTCCATTTGTAAATTGTTTGTCATGGCTTCAAGACATCATTCTACAAATGTTTAACTTTAATTGTGAAAAAATCATTTATGAAAAAAGATATAAAAAATTTAGCACAGCCAAATTAGTATAATTTTGGAGATAACTCTATCTGTTTTTGGCTAAAGCTGTATATAAGCTAGCTCTGTTGTTCTTGGCTGCATACATGTTATATAAATTTTGAGAACAGGTGTGAAAGGACCACAGGACATGGCAAAATACATTTGAAGTGTGGGCCATTTTACTTCTTATTAAATGGATCAAATTTCAGAATTTTTTTAGTTTAAAAGATGTGAGCATTCAGGTGAAGAATTTACAGTGTTTCTTTGAGTGATAATGAGATCAGTTCATCCTTTTCTTTTTCCGTTGGGAAATGGGTCTAATGTTGTTTAAACACAAATATGTATGGTCATTTTTACAGGGTATAAAATTTTCAGAAGCATAAATATATGCACATATGAACATTGCTTAACACCAAAATAAAATTATGTTCATTTGTATTTGTTGAATGCAGATAGATAGTACAGAACATAAATTTTTTATAACTTTAGCAGATATTCTGAATGTCTCAGAAGATTCTCAGTAGCCAACAAAAATTTCACTTCTGTTTATATTTCTGTCATTTCAATTTCAGCTCAACTTTTCCCATTAAAATTCACTTGCCTGTTGGGCAACTCGTAACCTGACTGGAAAATCCATTTACAAGCCCTGGGTTATTAAGCAAAACTCTCTTTGCAGCTAGGGATGTTTAGTTCTAGTCTGTGGTTTAAAAATCCTCCAAGTTGTTAGTGGTCTAATTCCTATTGTCTCAACACTGTACCATGTTGACTGAGGGCCCATCTGTATGGGCTTGGGTTTCTGAGACAACCCTTCATCTGAATTGCCCTGGCCAAGCTAACTTTTCAGTTATTACTTTGAAGAATTCAACCAACCATTTACATGAAGATCTCGAACCTGTCTTGGGAGGTAAGACAACTCGGGTGGGCGAGTTGTCTTGTCTCGGCAGGAAGGGTAACTCTTACAGGTGGGGCAACTTTCTTTTATAAACACTTTGACTCGCCTTTGACTCTCAGTGTGGTAAGTGTCACATAATGCTTAGATTTTAGGATTTAAAGCAGAAATTTGTATCAAAGAAGTAAAATTTAACTCAGCAAAATGCACTGTGATAAAATGACTGAGGGAGACTCCAAGTAAAAGGGATATTTCTACATTTGAATATTTAATAAGGGTTGTGGATAGTCATGTAGGATCGATTTTGACTTGGCCAACAGGGGTGACTTTTTGACATATAAACAGGCGATGAAGTTGCCCCAGGGAAGGGTTGTCTTAAGTACCCGAGACCATATAAATGGGGCCTGAAACAAAATGAACATATATGCATATGCACTTTTGTATTGAACATAAAATGCGGTCTTTTGGCTTGATTCGAGTGGTTTTTCAAGTTCACATGTACTATTTACACCCACAGTTTAAAGGGCTGAACTCAGGTGTTTAGATTGGGCTAGAGGAAATGCTAAAATGCGTAAATCTTGTGGTGTGGGCATAAGTTGTGCAGCTTTTGTTTCTAAATTTTTTTCATTTTTGGTTTTGTTTTTATAGCTTAAATTCCACAACTTCTGTTGAAGACTTTTATGAAGGGTTAGCACAAGTTCGTGACAAAACTGGTACACAAAAGGATTAAATGACCCGAAAATTGTTTGTTATCATAAGAATTCAATGTAATGTTTATTATTTAAACACAGCCACCTGTATTTATTAATCTTAAGTTGTGAAGCTTTGCAAAAAAGTGAAAGTAATACACGTATGTATGTTAATTTACATGCATAGTTCAATGACAGCATTCTTGAGAGTTAGCAGTTCTCACAGTCAAAACATTAGGACTTGAAGAAAAGAAAGAATTCCCATGGAGACCACCAGATTCAGAGTGGTGGTTTGCATTCCAACAGTGTATTTGATTGGTCTTACAAGGTCCTACAAGGGCAAAAACAAATGCTTGCTACATGTACATGTAGCTTCTACATGCACAAGTGTTTGTTTTTAAAT